GCAAGCCACAGTTTGCCGACCACTGGTCTAGAAGTACAACACTCCATGAGGCCAGAGAGTGGAAAGCAGAAATATTTGGGGAAGAGTGACACTTCCAGCGATGACATGGCACTTAAATGCACCCTTTTTAAAAAAATTCAATGATAATCATTTTATTATTATTATGACAATACAAATGACTTTTTTAAATATATATTTTATTGATTTTTACAGAGAGGAAGGGAGAGGGATAGAGAGTTAGAAACAATGATGAAAGAGAAACATCAATCAGCTGCCTGCTGCACACCCACAACTGGGGATGTGCCGCAACCAAGTTACATGCCCTTGACTGGAATCGAACCTGGGACCCTTCAGTCCACAGGCCGACACTCTATCCACTGAGCCAAACCAGCTAGGGCAATACAGATAACTTTTTTAGTTCACCATTACATTCATGCTACCTATAACAATGTTTCCTCTATTATGTATGCTACTTGATCCTTTAAAAACACATTATTTACGTCCTGGCTGGCTTGCTCGTTTGGTTAAAGCGTCTTCCCAATACATCAAGGTTGCGAGTTCAATCTCTGGTTATTGCACATACAAGAATCAATCAATTTACACTAATAAAAGAGAAAGATGCAAATTGACCATACCTTTGCGAAATCCACCAGCCAATCAGGAGTGGGTGTGCAAATTAACCCACGCAAAGATGGCAGGTTAATTTGCATACACTGGTGCCAAGCAGCTGGGTGCGGGGCAGGGCGCTTGAATTGTTGCCATGAAACGACTCAGGCATTCCACACCAGCCCAGTAGCTCCGGGCCTCTCGGCAGTGTAGGAAGGCAGAAAGGCAGCTCCCTCTGGAGCGAAGGCAGTGCCGGCAGCCAGGAGAAGGAAGGCCCATTCTTGCATGAATCTTCGTTCATCGGGCCTCTAGTTAATGGGTAAATAAGTGGAACAAGAATATTCTCTCTCTCTCCCTCTCTCTTTATCTGTCACTCTCTTGTTCTCTCTCTCTCAAGACAATAAATAAATAAAATAAAATAAAACATGTTACTTACAATGATTGGATATCTGGGCATGATTAATAAAATAAAAGATTATAAGACATTCCAAATTTTTTACTAAGTAAAGTATCTAATTTCTTAAAATTTACGCTCACTTTTCCATTTTAATAATGGAAACAATAAAATTATTTCACTACTTGATATTAAACAATAAGAGGTATCAGGCATTTGGGGTTTTTTATTCCCCTTTCTTATTTATCCTGACTTTGTAGCATTTCCCATCAGAACTTCTTCTGTGAAGAAAAACTGTCCCAACATGAAGGCTGTGCAGGGCTCACAGGAGCAGCAGGTGACACTAAGTCCTGTAGGGAAGGACAGGACCTGCCTCTGGGGGTGTGGGATCATCCTGAGAGGAAGCATCCTGATGTCTGGATGCATCAGGTTTCCTAGGAGCTACTGCCACAGATGGTGCTCATCTGTTTGGCCTCCTCAAATGCCCATTCTTTTCCTCCTTCTCCATCCAGACACAAACGTGTTTCTTTATAAACCTGTCCAGTATCCAGGTTTAAAGGGGCATATCACATTCAAGCCATTGCGATTCAAAACCTAGTCCAGCACCTATGGCTTCTAGGAAGCTTTCTTTCAAGGCCAGTGCCCATAGAACATATGCAGCTGAGTCCATTCGTCCTTAAAGCTTTGGGGAGCTTCCCGTTCTTTGTTGGTAAACTTTTCTTTCATACTCAGGAGGCATTCTGAAGTTGAGCCAGGGCCTGGTTCAATCCCAACTTGTAGCTCAGGTTCAGCAACAAGCGCCACCCAGTCCCTTTAATGAGAGACATTAGAGATGAAACTGGGTAAGGATTTGATGAGTCTTTTGCCAAAACTGGTTTCCCTTTTGCAGTTCCCTGCAAATGAATGTTATTCCAAGGGATGTTCTATTTCTCTGCACTAACTTCCTCATCATCAGATGACCAGCCATGGCTGCCTTAGTGTCTCTGGCAGAGACCAACTCCTCCGGCTGCTGGTGGTACCTGCAGGAGCCATTCCGCTCAGCTGGGCAGCCAAGTGTTGCAGGAAAAGGCCCAGGGCACCATCTCCATTGCTGGCACCAAGCAGACCCACTTGATGGGAAACTTAAACCCACTCTTTGCCACATCAAATTACATCTCTGTGCCTCAGTTTCCTCATTTTTATAGGCTTTCACATTACAGGTTCGTTCTGATGGTTACATGTATGACACGTATATGTTCCGATCAAGGCCTATTCAGGGTGTGCACTCCGTCGATAAAAGCTGTTGTTGATAAATACTGACCGAGCCCACAGGCTCCCAGATGGTGAATAAATACCTGCTCTGTGCTTCCCTCCAGGAGGGGCAGGTGAGGAGCTGCAGGTGATTCAGCCTCAGAAGTCAGTGTCCGTCGCAGCCGGAGAGACAGCCACTCTGAGCTGCACCGTGACCTCCCTGTCACCCGTGGGGCCCATCTTTTGGTTCAGAGGGACAGGGCCAGGCCGGGAGTTAATCTACAGTCCTAAAGGAGGCCCCTCCCCCCGGGTAACATGGGTTGCAGATGCCACGAGGAGAGACAACATGGACTTTTCCATCCGCATCAGTAACCTCACCCCAGCAGACACAGGGACCTACTACTGTGTGAAGTTCCGGAGAGGAGGTGGTGATGACACGGAGTTCAAGTCTGGAACAGGCACTCAGCTCACCGTGAATGGTGAGTACAGGGGCATCCTTTGTCCCTGGTGTGTGACAACAGTCATTAAAGATGCCCTCAGTTCTGTGAGCAACAGCTAAGAGTCAGGTGCGGAGGTGGGTGCTTATAGTCCTGCTCTGATTCATGGTCTGATTTCACCCCGTCTGCAGACCAGGGAAGCTAAGGCCTGGAGATGTCATGTTCTTGGCTCAGCCACCACGGCTGGTCAGTGGTGGGAAAAGTCTGGAACCCCCACTTGTCTGGCTCCCCATTCCTGGCCTTTCAATCCCATGCTCTTCCCTCTAGTGGAGGAAACTCACTGAGGGCAGGGAGTAGAGAAGGTGCTGCTTTATCTCAGCCTCAGAAACATCACAGGAGAAGGAAATCCTGAGAGGCCCAGACTCACTGTTCACTCTGAAAGCCCCGCTGGAAGAAGATGCCCAGAAGTGTGCGATCACTGTGGGTCTATCTGGAACCCCCCTTTATTCCAGAATCCCAGTCACTGTAATGCAGCCTCCAAGCAGAGTTGCGTCATCTCAGAATGTCCCTCACCCATGGAGAGGCTCCCCATGTGGGAGCCTTAGGGGTTGTCCCATTGAGGCAACACCGTTCCCATTGAGGGTGTTTTACCAGAGGCCCAGGATCCTGAATCCTGGACTGTGAGCACGTGGGGACCTTTAGACCATCCAGCCTGACTCCCCATGTACAGAGAGGCGCCTGAGGTCAAAAGGTGACAGGGGCTTTGCCCAAAGTCACATGGCCAGTGAGTGAGGAGGTTGTTCCAGAACCCCATCTGATTTTACCAACTTTTTCCTGCTTCAAATACAGACACTCTATCCATCAAAAAGCCTGGTAAATGCAGGCAATGAATTAAAGTTCAGTACAGCACACCAGCACCTCTTATGTTCACTGGTACCTAGAGCTACACTTACCCCTCACTCTCAGCCTTTGAGGCCAAGGTGATTGGGAACCTCTCCCTACCTGCAGCCACATCGCCCCAAATTGAGCATCCACATCAGCACCTAGAACTGCCCCACTTTCAAAAGCTGCCTCCCCTGAAGCCAGTGGAGACAGCATCATTCATTCGCTGTCTTCTGTTGATGGATGTGAGTTGTTCCCAGCCTTGGGCTAGTCACACAGTGACACAGGATACCCTTGTCCATGGGTCACCCTACTCAGAGGGAGGCGCCCACGGGAAGTGGCATTGCTAGGACACAGGGTGTGTGCATTTTAATTTGTGTGGGTATTGCCAAATTCCTCTCCTAGACATGGTGGCAATGGGGTCTTCCCACAACTCCTGGACACAGGCAGGAGGGTGGCTTATCCTGATTTACATACATTACTAAGTTCCCAGACTGTGTTCCTTGCCGAGGCCATCACAGGTGTCAGTGGCTTCATCACCACTCGGATCTGCTGCCTCTTGGTAGAGAGCTCCTGCCCCTTCCTGAGCTACTTGCCCAGGTGATGCCCTGACTGAGAATGAAGGAGGTGGGAGAGGTCAGGGGTCATGTCTTCATGGTGACATTTACTCCTACAGCCAGTGCATAAGGGAGGGACCATCATTGCCCCTTTGTTAGATGAGGACACTGATGCTCAGAGAGGGGACCTGAACTGAGCAGCAAGGGGAACTAAGATTTGAATCTCAAGCAGCATAACTCAAAGCCCCTGCTCGCCACAATCCTACACTGTGCTTATCAACGTGTGGAGAAAGCTCCAAACTTTTTCTTAGAATCATGAATTTTTAAAAAATATATATATATTATTGATTTTTTACAGAGAGGAAGGGAGAGGGATAGAGAGTTAGAAACATTGATGAGAGAGAAACATCAATCAGCTGCCTCCTGCACACCCCCTACTGGAGATGTGCCCGCAACCAAGGTACATGCCCTTGACTGGAATCGAACCTGGGACCCTTGAGTCTGTCCACTGAGTCATACTGGTTAGGGCAGAATCATGCATTCTTATGTTCTTCAGAAAAAAAATATTTTTTCAAAGGGTCCTCAGGGGAAGTAGGTCTAGCTTTCCAACTGAGAGGAGACAGACCCTCAAATGTCCCATGATAAGGCCTGAAACTATTCCTACAGGACATGGCTCTGCCTGTGGAGGCATCCAGGAGGCCTTCCCTCCTTTGTGTTGTTTTCCTCACTGAGCAGCCACAGGAGCCGCCTGGCACAGTGGCCTGGACAGAGCAGAGAGGGGTCACTGAGCCCCAGCACTGCCATGGGCAGCATCCCTGTCTCTGCAGACTGAGGGTGAGGAGGGGGCATTTCCTAGAGGGCCCTGTGGCCCCAGAGAGCAGGAGCTCATATTCTCGACTCAAATCAAGGTGTTATTTTCCTGGGCACAGACTGGTAGGAAATCATCTGGAGAGAAAAAAGTTGGACTTTGAACGAAGGCCTGGAACTGCTTGTCTGCCCTGCCCCTCACTCAGAGTTCACCTCTGGGAGCATGAGTGTCCTCCTTTGCAACACGGGGATGATGACATGCCCTCTCAGCATTAACAGAAGGATAAAAAGCAGTATATAGACAGTTTGACAGTGCTACATGCTAATCATTAGTGGTGATAATCACAGTCCTTTGCCCTTCTTACTTATCATATCAGGACTTTGTAGCATTTCCTATCGGAACTTCTTCTGTGAAGAAAAACTGTCCCAAATGAAGGCTATGCAGGGCTCACAGGAGCAGCAGGTGATACCAAGTCCTGTAGGGAAGGACAGCACCTGCCTCTGGGGGTGTGGGATCATCCTGAGATGAAGCATCCTGATGTCTGGATGCATCGGGTTTCCTAGGAGCTACTGCCACAGATGGTGCTCATCTGTTTGGCTCTCCTCAAACGCCCATTCTTTTCCTCCTTCTCCATCCAGACACAAACGTGTTTCTTTATAAACCTGGTCTGTCTCCAGGTTCAGTGTGGACATAACACATTCAAGCCATTGCAATTCAAACCCTGGTCCAGCACCAATGGCTTCTCTGAAGCTTTCTTTCAGGGCCCGATGCCCATAGAGCATGTGCAGCCGAGTCCATTCGTCCTTAAAGCTTTGGGGAGCTTCCCGTTCTTTGTTGGTAAACTTTCCTTTCATACTCAGGAGGCATTCTGAAGTTGAGCCAGGGCCTGGTTCAATCCCAACTTGTAGCTCAGGTTCAGCAACAAGTGCCACCCAGTCCCTTTAATGAGAGAAAGAAGAAACTGGGTAAGGATTCGATGAGTCTTTTGCCAGAACTGGTTTCCCTTTTGCAGTTCCCTGCAAATGAATGTTATTCCAAGGGATGTTCTATTTCT